TTTCATGGTAAAAAATTAAAAAAAACACCACCCCCCCCCCATAATTAGTCAACATTATTTAAAAAAAAAAAAAGAAATTTATATTCAAGTTTAAGTCTGAGAGAGCCATCTCCGGCCATCTAGAGGTGCTATAATAATAAAAATGGTGGGGCTGTGGTGCTATCAACTCTCAATCAACGCCGTAGCCAAGATTTTCAAACATTGCGGGACGATATCATGGTGGACCCACTTTACGCGTAAATTCAAATAATGTGGACCCAGACGACACGGAACAAGGGGTGTTGCGTTATGGAGAGTAATGTGTGACTGGAAATGGTCTGCCAGTTGGTTGTCACCATGCGCCAGTGATGTTGGAGTACAGCAAGATGAAACTATTTATGTAATGCATGAATAAAGTTCGGGGTTTGTCGGGTAGTGAAACCATTATTGTACATTTTAAGTGCTCCCTCCATGCATAAGTGTAAGCTAAATTACGGTGATTAACGAGCGAAGATATGGTGACAACTATTACAAGTTCCCTCTTTTCAAGAGGGGATGCAAATGCTTTGTGAAAATGAGTACGCGGCGGCCCGAGGTACTCATTTTCACAAAGGAATACACTCAGCTGGTTAGCTAACAATAGGCCTATGCAAATTTACATGAACACCTGGTAAGAAAGGTACAATCACGTTCTGTTGCCTAGCAAACGTCTGTACTGTAGCGTGGGGGTGGGGCTAGCCTACTGATGTAGGCCTACAGTGTATAGCAGGGGACTATGGAGCATAATATGACTAACCCTAGGCCTAAGTAGACAGTGCAATTTTATGTGATAGAAAGTACACTTTCGAAAGAAATAAATTAAAATAAGAAAAAAAAATAACTAGGGCCTAAGAATAATTCAGTAGCAGACGTACCTTGTTTAAGTATTATATGCTAACTATGCGGCTCTTGTAGCCATAGCTAGACAAGGTACTCATGTGCAAAGCAGTGGTGTTTGTTTATCCATGAAAAAAGCACGCCGGGAAAGTTTGCTTTACCAGGAAAAGGTGACGTAATCTAGCTTATGACGTATCGTGCTAACTTTAGCGTGAGTGTGACGTCACCAAAAATATTATATTATATAAATATAAATATTATAACCAAAATATTAATAACTACAAGGTTTGTGGGCGTAAATTCCCTTAATACAAATTAAGGGTAACACCATCTCCTTGCCATACAAATTACAACTCCCATTGACGTCTCAGTCGAGAAATACGGGTAGCTGAAGTTTTTTTTCGAAAATCTGACTACGAAACCAAATTGAAATTCACGTTCCACTTCTGACTCTGAGTTGCTTCGCACACGCCGCTGAGGGTGGCATTCCGGGAACCCTGCGTCTAGTTTCTTAAAATTTGATCTATTTTACGCAAAAATTATGCTAAATAATAGAAATCTGTACCCATTTTTCATGAAGTAGACTCATTTTATGCATGACATTTCATAATTTGAACCCATTTTTAAAATGTGGACCCATTAGAAAAATTGTGTGGGACTGTCCTAAGATATCTGGCTACTGCATTGCTCTCAATCTGTAAAATCCTTCCCTTTCCCCCGCCCTATATCAAATTCCTAAATCCGCTACTGATAGTGGTATTTCCTCTCTGGCCTCTCATAAAATGCCTAGATCTGCCACTAAAACCGTATGCATCTTTCAGAAATCGGTCAAATATGATCTCAATTTATCAAAAATGCTTGAGCTCTACCACATGGATCCAAGCAGCAGGGTTTCCCCAAGCGCCACCTTTCCCCACCCCCACCCCCATTTCCGGTCATTATAGAGGTGCCATAATCATAAATGTTCTTACCTTATGCCCAACCATGGTTGGGCTGAGGTGTCATGGACTCTCCTTCCCTGGCCATTTTGAAGGTGCCATGATCATAAATTTTCTTCCCTCAGCCTCAACCATGGTGGGGCTGAGGTGGTATTTCCTCCATCTGTGAAAGTCCCTTCCTGGCCCCTCTTCAAATTTCTAGATCCGCCACCGAAAACTGTATATGCATTTTCAGAAATCGATTAACCTAAAATTATGAAAAATGCCTGAGCTCCGCCTCCTTGATCACAGCAGGATCCCCTCCTTCCAATTACGATGTTTCATCATGTCCTTATTTAAACACTGTATATGTACCTTTGACGATTTATATTATATAAGATGTGTATAAGAGACAGATCTATAGGTTTTAAGTGATTCTATTTGATTCTTGCTACCATATCCCGTTTCCGACAAGCTAATGTAGTAAGTTTAAAGGAGAAGAAATGTAACAAAATGATAACCATCATTGAAGTTAAAAACATTCTTAAAATGCAATCTGATCTGCCATTCGAGTTTCAGCTAAGCGGTAGATTCATTCGTAGGTCTATAGGCCTGTATTTTATTTCAAATACAGTTAGATTCTCTGATTAAAATAGGTCCTATCACTGTTTCTACAAAAATAACAATATCCTTAATTGAATAGACCTAACTTTAGAACACCTTTTGAATTTCTATTAATATTTAAACAAGTAGATATGTAATAATAACAGTGCTCGAATAGGATCATAAGATGTTATAATCGTATAAAACATAGCCCTTCAACGAAAATGTTTCAGTCGTATGAAAAATTGTCTGTAGGCCTATAGGAATATGAGTCTGTTGTCTCTTGTCAGTGCGAGTTTCATACTGTTAGACTATAGTATGGTATAGACGCAAGTTACTTCTAGATACTTTCTGTCATACAGCTGACTACTGTAACAGACCATAGAGACCATTAAAAAGGTATTAGATTCCATGGTATTTGCCTAATTACACCTTAAGAAATCCATTATTTATGTACCGAAAATAAATTGATACAAGATAAACATGTTTATAATTACCAATATGAAATATACTGGTGCTTACTGTGTTGGCTTACTAAAATACTTATGTTATAATTGTATTATACATTCATTGACACATTTCAGACGGTCAGTATATATATGCAAGTGCGGTAGTAGAGGGAACAGATGTGAGTAGATCGAAAGGAGAAAAGGCCAGAATAGTTAGCCCCAACATCACAACATCAGACAAGGGTAAACTACTTCGTTTTTACCGTCATATGTACGGCAATGGATTAGGAGCCCTCAACGTATATATTCTCTTTGATGGTGTAGTTAAGCTTCCCAGATCAACTTGGCGGCGGACAGCCAGCAAAGGGCGGGGTTGGAAACTAGGCGAAGTCCTATTACCAACGAATGCAGTTTTTCAGGTATGTGTCAATATAATTTTACTATTTTATAAATTAATGGTAAGATGAATTGACTGCGTTGTAAAACTTTTCACACCAATATTACGACAGATCCGGCAACAGAGGGTTTAGGTAGTTTTGCTTTTTTTTAAGTACAGCATTTCATATTTCAATGAGATTGTACTATGCAGTCCATATAAATCACTTATTTTACATAATGTTAAAGTATTATTTCTTTAAATACAGTGCGTATATCTTCACAGATCGTATTTGAGTCGGTTATCGGAAAAAATAAATTTGGTGATATTGCAATAGATGATATAACAATTGAAGGTATGAGTAATTGCTCTGTGTTTTAGTAGTTTTTAATGCATTTTGTATAAACAAAAAGAGTAAACTCATTAATAAGGGAATTGGAGCTGATTCGAGATTAATCTTTAGGGTCATTATTATCATCATCATAATTTTCAAAATATTAGTAATCATCAGAAACATAATTATCACTGTAATAAACTTTTGTTACCCAGTCAGCCTGATTCTTCTTCTTCATCTTCTTCCTCTTCTTCTTACCCAGTCAGCCGCTGGCAGGCTGGGTCCTGTTTTCTTCTAATTCTTCTTCTTCTGGCAACAATTCAAAACGCTACTAGTGGCAAACGGTTCGGCCGATTTCAATCAAACTTGATCAGTAGAACCGGTGACATCTCCCATGGGGTACGTGTTTACAGCTTGAGATCATTAGGATAAAAAATGTATTAAAGATCCTTGTAACAAAGCTAGAACATAGCACAGACTTCTCCCTTTTACATATGAATTGGCATAAGGCAGAGTTTTTAAAGTGTTCATTATCTATCTATTTTATGATTTTAGATATATCATGGGATTGCAATTTTGAAAGAGACATGTGCGAATTTCAACAGTATGATCAGGATGAATTTGACTGGTGGAGCAACAGTGGTAAAACCAGTACCAAAGGAACTGGTCCGCCAATTGATCACACGAGAGAAACATCTAAAGGTATAGACAAACCCAATTAGGAAAGGACGCTCTCTATTGGCACCACAATAGCTTGGGACCTTATTGGGTTCATGTTTATGTACGGTGTGGTGCGATTACGATGGAAAAAAATTACAATAATTCCAATGCATTTGTAGAAGATGATACGTAAGGATTCCTCACTGGAATCCCCCAGCTATGGCGTTTGCAGAGTAAAAATAATCACTGAAAATGGACCGGTCTATACAAAACAGAATAATACTAAAAATAAGAGATAATAATACTAGGCAAGACAGTTGCTTATTAAAATGTATAATTATCAAGCCATTTAACCATGTGACTTGATTTATTCAATCACAGGAACGTATATGTACATAGAAGCAACATATCAGATTGGCCACGACAGTGCTATACTCATAAGCAGACCTTTCGTAAAAGACCCGGATAGATACTGTGGGTTGTCGTTTTTTTACCATATGAATGGGGACCATATAGGGGCGCTGAAGTTGCATCTTCTCTACGGTAACAAAACAGGCTTCGATCAGGCAATCTGGTCAGACTCAACTAACCATGATAACAATTGGATAGAGAAGGTTGCTTACTTAAATAAAGTCACTGGGTTGTTCCAAGTAAGTTATTTTAATGATAAAAATTCAAAAAATCACTTTAGTTAAATGTGCTGCTTTTTATAGTAGAGAAAAAGTATATTATTTATATAGCAAAATGTTTCATTCTGAATACTGTATTAGTGACCCTTTTGCAATCAGAAACTACATTATGTTTCCCATTTTTAATGCTTGTACTGTCTGTGTTACCATGAAGGTCTTTTCATTGGGTTTTAGAATAAACAATCTGATCAGTACCAGTAAACTAGTGCTATTCCGTACCTACAGTTGCGATCGTAATCATGTGTGCTATTTTAAAGAACGCATTGCCTCAGTAAAATAGCACATCATATACGCGCTTGTTAGTCAAGAATGTAGAGGGAACCGCAACCAGTTTTGCTCCCCGTCCCCCACCCAAAACAACATATTCTGAATAAAGACTTGACCAACTGGAACCAAACGGAGGTCGACTTTGACAGTGCGGGCTGTTGGTGAACTTGGAACCCATATTTCGCAGGGGAAAGGGTCGGGAAAATTGTACTTGATTGCCAGCGACTGGTAGGCCTATTGTACAAAGTGCTCTTTCCAGACCTAGGCTACAAAAGTGACAAAAACTGGCCATAAGAAATATATAGATCAAAGTAGTTTGATATTCTAATTGCAAATAAGATTAATATATTATTAAATATGATTTTCAAAACCAAATTATAATAAAATTGCTCATCACGTTTTTTGCATAGTTTGCGTTCGAAGGTGTGAGATCAGTAGATGGTCATAAAGGTGACATTGCTATTGATGACGTCAAGCTCCTAGGCAGTGGGTGTTCTGTCTTCCCAGGAGGTAATTGATAATATTGTATAATCAAATCCAAAAAAAATAATTTTACTGTATAATACATCAATTCTATAAATACTAATTTACACTATGATAATACTTTACCGCATGATGTGTTCGGCGTATGAGTAGATCTGACTTAATAACAAAATAAAAAGATAATAACAACAACAATAATTAAGAATAAAAATAGTAATGATAATGATGAACATGATTTCATAATGATAATAATAATAATAATAATAATAATAATGATAATAATAATAATAATAATAATAATAAAAGGCCTATCTTGATATTATGTTGTAACACTATTGATTTATTAACTAAATTAAATCACCACTAATTGTTCCAAGTATATAGTGGTGTTCGATCTAACTCTAACTTAATTCCCATCTTCTAAGATTTTGTTCCTGGCAACTGTTCAGCAAGTCCCTGTAAAAATAGCGCGTCATGTATTGAGATGGTTGGTGGTGTCGTCTGTAATTGTACCATCGGCCATTCAGGAAAGCTTTGTGAGACAGGTAAGGTTATATTTCTGTATTAACTATTTTTTTTTTATTTGACTACTAGTACATTACAATCATGGTTTAATATATATATTGAATAATTTATGCTGTGCATCTTTATTTTAGTAAACCTCTGTGCATTCAAACCGTGCCATAATGGCGGGACGTGTATGACGGTGGGAGAAGGGTTTGCATGTCGCTGTTCATCTGAGTGGTCAGGAACAACTTGTAAAGAAAGTACTAGTAAGTTATCACAATGAATAGTGAAATTATAATTCATTACTGTAGATAATTACATAATTTACTTTATAATTATTTAACTGTATAATCGATTGATAATCCATACTGTATAGGCCTACCTGAGACTTTTATTGTAGTGTAGGCCTACATACAAAATCATATTGTGCAGATTAATTTATCTAATATTTTACCTCAGCAGGACAGCAGAAATGTAGATTATTACTGTATGAGTAATAGAGATATGAAATTTAGACTCATGATAAGCTGATATATACCAAATTGTATTTTCTTTTACTTATTCAGTGTGTCTAATGTCATCTTGTCTTTAATTGCATGTTACACGTTGTATATAATACTGATATTGAATACATACTTTTATCTTGGTATTTTCAGTAAAATCATAAGCCTAGTATTAATGTCAATTACATTGGAAACTCCACAAATTGCTTTTTATGGTGTTATTATTATTTAACAGTAGTTTCTACGGTGTCGTGGCAGAAAGCTACAAAAGAGTTGGCACCAACAACACCACCAAACCTACCCTCAGCTAGAATAATTAATAAGCCAACTAGAGCATACTCCACACCACCAGAAGAAACGACTAAGTTAACCTCTTCATCTGCTCGACATTCAAAGCCAGAAGGCACAACTCCCCTAACACTTTCTCCAAGAGTACCTTCCATTCCACCTTTACCGGTTGTCATCACTCACCAACCTGTGTCCGCCTACCCCTTCCGCCTACTCACGACTAGTACAGATGCTGGAGGCAGAGATGGTGACATCACAGATGCAGCAGGCAAGGGCGTAGACATAGTCGTCACAGACGCAACCAGCACATATATAGACGTTACAGATAGTGCAGACTTAGTAACAACCAAACCAATAACTCACATTGATTACTGTAATGTGCATAGGTGTATCCATGGAGATTGTTTTAATGAAAATAATGGATATCGTTGCCAATGTTTACCTGGTTGGAAAGGAAACAATTGTGATGAAGGTACGGTACAGTATATTACAACCTGATTATCATTGAGTGCAGAGGTAGCACCAGTGGGGAACCGGGGGTAGGACCACCCCGTCGGGGAGAACTGCCACCCCCACCCCCCTGTCGGGGAGAAAAAGCACAATTCGTCGGGGAGAAAAAAAATTATATGTATTTTCTAGATATTAGTAGATTCTAAAATCGATTAAATAGGCGTTTAAAACCCCTAAATTGTCAAAATTTTCGGGGGCTTCGTCCCCTGGAGCACTTTCGAACCTTTTAATAGAAGCTCGACCACGCCCACTTTGCTTTCGTCGGGGAAATCCGCCCCCCCCCACCCCTTCGGGCAAATTCTGACGCCACCCCTGATTGAGTGGCTCTACCAACTAGTTTATGATGCCAAGCTCACATAATCTTATTGACTTCATTACTTGGGACACGTCTTTTTCTCAAGGTTTGCTTATGATTGGAAATAGGTATATAGGCCTAGATATATCACATGATATCTAGCTAAATGTTTTTTCAGTCTGTGTAACAATTCATCTATTCCTATTATATGTTTATTTTATCATTTGATTGCAATATCAAAGTATACTTCCGCTACTGTCATCTTGAGTATGTGTAATATTCTACAGTGGACTTTGTTCCTAAAATAAATATATTGCAACATTGAAACACATAAAACACATTTCCAAATTTTTCCCCATTGTACTATCTGGGAATCTACTATCTTCGTATCCGTTAGAGCAACACTAAGTGTGCGATTTATATTCCACTTGATCACACGATATAAAGACAATAACATCGTGAAAAAAAAGTTTCTTCACCCGACCGATAAAATAATATCTTAATGAATTTTACTACAAGGTCGGATTTCCTCTCGGTTCAGCAGAGAATGACGTGATTCAATATTTAAGACGAATGATGAAAGAATTCCCGAGTCTACTTGATTTTTACTCATAAGCTATTCTTTCCTGAATGTCTAAGTCGGCCCTTGAACTACATAATATTTTTCCCCAGTATTGTTTCATCTCTATAATACAACTCATCATAAGTGACCTTCCACTGACCCTAAATCAACTTCCATACTAATTTTAACTTTGCAAATGTTACCAGTAAGTATTTTAATGTTGGCTTATAATACTGTATATCAGAATGAGTTATATTGTCACCAAAAAATTAACAACTAATATCGCATTATTTTAAAGCTATATCATACATACCAGTACATATCACGTTCTTGTTATTATTAAAGTAATACAAATTTTGAAGGACGTTTTTTGAATATATCCATGTTTTTATTTACGAGATGCCGTGTGAGTGTAAGCTGTGTGCCAGCAATTCCCTTGAATTTATTAGCAGAAACATGTATATTCAAAAGAAATATTATTTTGTGACATCACGCTAATAGTGTCTAATTAACCAATGAGACACATAATATTATTTCCAGATTTGGACGAGTGCACAGAAGTATTGGACACATGCGCAAATAACGGAACATGCGTGAACACTGAAGGATCATACACGTGTACATGCGCAGATGGTTGGATGGGTAAGGACTGCCAGCTGGGTACGTGGCTCTCTTTATTTTACGTTAAAGTTACGTTATCATTACGTTCATCTTCATGTGTACAAACAATTTCTGTTTGTAAAACCATGCATACTTACCGTATTTATAATGTAATTTCTCTACTTGTTTTGTTTTCATTATTCTAATTTTCAATAAAATACGACAGTTAGTTTTCGAGTTTTTAGATGAATCACACATCATTGTCTTAAGCGCCTTGCATTCCTATGTAAAGAGTAATTTGTTTACGATCATCATATTTGTATTCGGTGTATAACAATTGTAACTGCAATACTGTATTGTAATTTTTTTTTTACAGAATGTGAAGATAACAATTACAATTGTGACTACTGGGCAGGCACAAAGGAATGTACTATAAACCCAAATTATATGCTAAAATATTGTCAATTTAGCTGCGGAGTATGCCAACCTTACGGTAAATATTTTTTCTAGCCATTTATTATGTTGCGAGTAGGTTTGTGTGGCTTTTGCGAATATGGTCTATGTGCTTGCTGTATGTATTTTTTATATGTGCCATACTACCTGTTGCTGCAAAAAACAACTACTACTAACACCCTACCATCTTCACCACCACCACCTCCACCACTACCACTACTACCACAACCTCACTGTGTGAGGGCGTATATTATTATTTGTGCGATGTGTATCTGGTTGGATAGTCATTGGCAGGTAATAATACTTCGGACGATGTTTATGTAATTTTAGCCAACATTTAAACTTTATTCGTAGAGTGCGTGGACCGACATGAGAATTGTGCTCTATGGGCCAGTATTGGTGAATGCAACAATAATCCATTCTATATGCTAGGGATGTGCCACAGGAGCTGTGGCGTTTGTATAGACGGTAAAGTTCATAATTCTTTTTTTTTAAATATTTATTCGTTAGAATAAGTTTCTTTATGTCGGTATTGTCTTTTCCATCTATTAACATGATGATAATAACAATGATAATATAATAAATGTACTACTTTTTAATATGTTTAGTGGGTTCCATACAAGCATTCTTGATTTAATGTTACGCTGTTATTCGAATAAATAGATAATATTGTAGTCATTAAATTAAAATAGCACTGCAAAACAGTGTAATACACCTGTATACTATATTGTGATAAGTCTGGTAAGTATTCTACAATTATAAATATTAAAATTACAACAATAAATTGAATAGATTTAATATTTTGTGGAGATGCCTGATACTTGATTTGTAATCAGCAAATGGCTGGTAAACCGTAGTATATGTTTGTTGTAGTTTCGTGGTAGCCGTGTGAATAAATAATAATACCACTGTAGTTTATTGCGATATCTTCGGTGTGATTTTAGGTTTACTTTAACTTTACGTGGCGTGACTTAACTTACAGTTATTTGTTTCTCCATCTATGAATTAGACGAGTGTTCAGTACACCCATGTCAAAATGGAGCAACGTGCACAGACCTCGAAAACAGTTATTCCTGCGCATGCTCACCTGGATGGGGAGGAGTTAATTGTCATGTTCGTTAGTATTGGTAGTTTTCATATTTTCATTATTATATTAATGTTTCATTTACTGTAGTTGTATTATTGTTAATAAACTTAACTTAAATTTAACTTAAATAAAATATTCTGTGTATATTGTCGTATAATGTTATATAGAGCCTCCACTTTGTTAGGGCGTATATCAGATGTGCGTTATAGTGTGACTGGCTGGATAGAATCTATGGATATACCTGATACTTCTCTGTAGTATGTAGGTCACAGGTTCGAATCTCGTCGAAGACATTTTTCACACAACTGTTAAGCCGGACACTCACTGCGTCGTACGACTGTCGCACGACGAATCCACACTTGCTTCCGGCGAGCGACAGACGACGCAACGCCGTCTGCTGATGGTCAGTGGCAATCTGAACAAATCCTCATCAAAAAGACGATCCGTTAGGTTCGGGTCTTCGCGTGCGTTCTTCGTCGCGTTGCCGTCGCACGCAGTGAGTAACCGGTTTTAAGGAACATTTTTGTTGAAGGGCTATGCCTGATACGTTTATAGTATCGTTTGTTCCTAAAATTGAGCACGGTTTCTATATATATATCTGTCTCTTATACACATCTAGATGTGTATAAGAGACAGCCATTCCACGGAGTTTGTATCAATATTGTATCAATAATAGTTTATTTATGTAATCGTTCATTCTTTATCAATATATAATAATTTTGTATTTCTCTTTAACACAAATTAATACACTTAATTTCTAGCTCTGAACGAGTGCAATAGTGATCCGTGTCAAAATAATGGAACATGCATTGATTCGATAGCATATTACGAGTGTGTTTGCACTGATGGATACGAGGGTGTACATTGCGAAAATGGTAAGTAGACGTTAACCCCAATTTACATCTCCAAAAACAATTTAGGAAGACATTTCTTAAAAGGACAATAAATAAAGATTTTATTTGGGTTTTGGGGGTTTTTTCTTATTTATAGAAACTGATCACTGTTCTAGTGAACCTTGTCTAAACGGTGGAGTTTGTGACGACACAGGACTAGCTTATTTGTGCACATGTGCAGATGGATTCTCTGGCGTATCTTGCGAAAATGGTAATTCTGATTCAGATTTTCCTTTATTTTTCACATATGTTATTATTATTATTTTTTTTTATTTTTGCTGTCTGGCTTATTCTTTACTTGGCCCATTCTTTACTTGGCCCATTGATAAGTTCTGAATTGGCGCAGTAGAAATTTCTGATCTATTGCTATTGTTTGTGGTTTCCTCAGAAAATTCATTTCATTTGGCACACTTTTGTGATTTGAAGCTCTAGCCTATATAAACAAAACCTCTCTTTAGAAATAATTGAAACATAGTCACTTAAAAAAAATAATTGAGTGTTTGGTTTCTGGTGTGATAAAACTATATAGTGGTAACAGATTTTTAAAGATTGGTAATTATGTGGTCTTTTTTAGATACGAACGAGTGCTTAAGTAACCCTTGTTTACACGGTGGCACTTGCTTGGATCAAGCCTCTAGTTACCTGTGTGAATGTCCAGAGGAATGGACTGGAGAATATTGCCAACATGGTAAGTTTTTCAAATGTTTTTATTTTCCTTATTATATCAGTAGTGTTGTTAATCTCTATTATGTACAGTTTTGGTCAATGCTTTTTCTAAATAATATTACATTAAGGAAAACAAACGAATGATACTGTAATGTTTTATGGTGAAAATTTGAGGTTTTTAGTGTGCTTGTAAAAGCGTTAATAAACTCCTTTTATTTTATTTATTTTTTTATTTATTTAAAATAAAAAACCAACAGCGAAAATAAATCGCCACTTACAGGCTTGAAAATACAGAAATATAAAAATGACGCAAAGGTGGAAAGAGAAATGAAAAGTCTTTGCCAGAAGAAAATACAAAACATAAATTTAAAAAAAATCCAAAAAGATATTAATAGAAAAGATACTCAACAAGTTAAAAAAATCCTAAATTCCACTTTATGCTCAGTTTTAATATCACTTTTACGGATAATCAGCGTCGGCCGTAACAAGGTGTTTTTCTAGAGTCTGTAGCTGGAATTGGTAGGCGACAGCACACAGAGGGGTTTAATTTATTTTCGCAGCACTTTGCCCAGCAAAGAAAATATGAAAGTATTGTATGCCATGCAATTAATTTATTTGTTGTGAAATTTTAATAGATATATAATATTTTCCTAATGTTCTTGTAAATTCAGATTTTGACGAATGTCAAAGCAATCCCTGCAGGAATGGAGGGTCGTGTTACCACGGAATTGGACACAGGTTCTACCTTTGTCGATGCCCAGATGGTTATGAGGGCATTAATTGTGACTACGGTAATAGTTTTGTTAGATTTGTCTGTGTAGTTATTTTAAAATTCAATACGGTATCTTGTTAACTATAGCTTAACCAATTTTTTGCGCTAAGAAGACAATCATAAAATAATAAATAGTCCACTGTATAGATACCATTACAATGGGTCTCATAATGGAATTGCACAGTCTATACCTGCTTGGTGAATCTAGGTAAAGGTAGAGGAAAGACAATAACCCATAACTTGCAGCGTCATTGTAGCCTACTGAATTGCGTATGGGCGTGGTCCGTGACTACCACAGCCGCAAAGAGGCGATAGTAGCTGTTCACAACGACAGGGGCTGAAATGAACCATAACATCGGGGTAACGTCTTATTCTTACACAATCCAGATGTGGTCCTCCATTTAAGTCCTTATCCAAGAAGAGTTAGTTCTGCCAACCGAACCCTGGAACCAGCGCCGATGTTAAGGCTAGCGGGGTCCCAGCCACCGCTCAGCCACTTGACATCGCACCGCACCTGTGGAGAACTCTAACTCAAACATTAAAAACTCGAATTAAGGATCAAGTACGTTGTTGAGATCATTTTTAATGATTTACAGATGACAGTTGATTACCAGTTAAAAGATCAATGTATAATATGGCTCAAAACGAATACTTTCTTAACAGGAGGATCGTCAACTTTAATGTGATATGCTAATCAGTTTTTGCGGCGTGCAAGATAGTTTGAAACTAAATATTTCAATTATAATTTCAGAAATTGATGAATGTCAAAGTTCACCATGCAAACGAGGTGCTACTTGTTTGGATTTGATGAACCGGTATGAATGTGTTTGTGAACCCGGATGGACTGGTTCCCAGTGTCAGTTAGGTATACACTGATCAATGTACAGTGATTATGTTCTCTCTGCAGACGCTATAGGTGGGGCATTCACACGCAATTTTCTCGGTAAATTGATTCTCGAACGAGATAACGAAAGCTCTAATGACACAAGCTACTGCATGACCGTTTTTATATTTTAATTACACCAATTTATTTTAATTTCAAATACATTTTCCTATGAATTCGTGATAATTCGTTATATCACGCATAGATAAATGCGTGACAAATTTCTGATCACGCATGTGTTTCTGCAAAATGCGTGTTTCATCCAAAATCACTTTTAAATATAGGACCATCCCGCACGATGCGAGACGGTTGGTAACTATGCGTTAAGTTATAATATGAACATGCCTTACTGCGAGGAGAAATATCCCAGCAATAGTGACGCTAACAGGGGCGCACTTTCTATAACACGAGTTTAAGTGATATAGTAGCAATAGAAAAAAAAAACACGTTATTTTAGATAGTCATTAATAGTAAGTGATTCACACAAATATTATATTTGTAACGGTTAATTATAATCTTTTTGTATTCAGACATCAACGAGTGTGCCAGTAAACCATGTCTGAACGAAGCGAAATGTTTGGACCTGGTAAACCATTATACATGCCTTTGCCCACCGCTGTATTCTGGAACAAATTGCGAGATTCGTAAGTTTAATATGGTCGAAATATTCTAAAGGCTCTTGGAAAGAGTGGCCCTAAACAGGTAGCTTCTGCTTGTACAGTCTGGCCCAACTGGTAAGGGGTGGGGGCAGTGGCGGTGCCAGCGGGGGGGCAGCAGGGGCTTAAGCCACCACTGGACAGGTCAAGCCCCCACCCCATTGACAGAGCAGATGTGTATAAGAGACAGGTGTTTGCACTGATGGCTACGAGGGTGTACATTGCGAAAATGGTAAGTAGACGTTAACCCCAATTTACATCTCCAAAAACAATTTAGGAAGACATTTCTTAAAAGGACAATAAATAAAGATTTTATTTGGGTTTTGGGGGTTTTTTCTTATTTATAGAAACTGATCACTGTTCTAGTGAACCTTGTCTAAACGGTGGAGTTTGTGACGACACAGGACTAGCTTATTTGTGCACATGTGCAGATGGGGGTTGACATATTTCATAATAATTTCGTCCTCTTTTAAAGGACTTCATCTGCCAAATGAATTAACATTGCATAGAGCGAAGTATTTGTACAATAGAAGTAATAAATAGTTATTTCAATCAATATGTGTATGGACGATTAATTTAAAAAGATATTTAAAATGCAACAGTATAAGTCGTACCGTATATAATGCGTATTACTCTCAGTATATTAATGTTGTTTTCAGGTGTGAGCAGATGTGCGAAGTCTCCATGTCTAAACGGCGGTACTTGTAACGAATTATCGAATAATATAAAAAATTTATGTCACTGTACATCACAATGGGAAGGAATCTACTGTGAAATATGTAAGGATGTGTCCAATAATATCATTAAATACCAATTTTATTAAGATCGTGGCCATGTTATTATGATATAAATTTATATCTACATTTTGTTCGGTTTTATACTGTATTTTATATTTCTTATGATGGTGTTGGTGGTGGTAATGATGACGACTACGTCGACGACGATAATAATGAAAATCGTGATGATGGTGACGACGATGATGATGGTGCTGATGATGCTAATAATGATGAATGATGGTGATTATGATTTTAATTAATAATAGTTGCAATGTCCTGAATTGTATTTTTAATTATCTATTTGTGTAGCTAAAATTGTTCCAACGACTCCTGCTCCAACGACTACATCAATAACAACAACAGTTACCAAGCTAACTACAACTAAAGTAAGCCTCACTACGGAAGAACCTGAAATATCGGGAGGCGGGTCATCTGCGGTCGTATCAACCCCAAGATTCAAACCAACAAAGAGCAAGTTTGAAGCGTCGACAAACAAATTATCTACACAAGTACCATCTACAGAAAACCCTTCAACACCAAAGTTATCAACGCGTAAATCGTTGACATCAAAACCAACAACAAGACCAGCAACACCTAAAAAATCTACACCAATACCATTAACAACGTTATTAACGAAATCTACTGTTAAACAGAGAATTGTAACCTCTCCTACACAGAGGACACTGACAACTGCAGATGGATCGGTAGCGGAAACTAACAAAGCCCCAAAAAAGCATGAGACAAGTTTGTTTCTCATCATCGCTATTGCAGCTGGTACATTTACTGTAGTTATAATTATTTTAATACTGATTGGTGTTAGGATATGTCGACGTAATAATGGCGGCAGGTACGAGCAATTTCCGTTAGACTCGACCGCAGGCGGGATGACATGGGCGAGTGAAAGCAGCGGTGGTAGTCTCTCCTACCAAAAATTCATGGACTGTGAACCGACGTTAGATGATGCAAGCTCATTCAGAGAAAATTCTTCACTCTAAGATCAGATGTTAAATTTAATATGCAGGTCTAACAATTGTTGATAATTGTACAAAAATAATGTTCGTGCATTAAGAAATACTTTACCGTACCCTAGTCTTTTTCCTATCCAGTGTTCAATTAGTAGGCCCTCTTATATCTCCTGTCCTCTGGAGGGTTGGTGACAATAACGTACATTAGTAAGAGTCTTGAAGGGTACCTCCCATTATATTTTAAATGGTGATGGAAAATTGAATCTGATATCTCACTAATGAGTTTACCAACCCTTGGGTATATCAACAATTATAATTCTGTGACGTTACAAGTGCATATTTCTGATATTATTCCAGGAAAAGAATACCTGTATTTCTTATCGTTTTTTTATTTTTTTTATTTTTCTATTATTATTTATTATGATTTTTTAATAAGAAATGTCAAATACCAGAATATATGCTATGCAAATGTCTTCTATTTCCAAAAGTGATGTTAAATGTTAAAACATAGCTGATGTCATGATGTTGATGTATTAAAGTGAATGTGACAAAAGGCTTTCAGTAACTGACGTCACAAATTGGTTAATAAAATAGACAGATTTTGTGCCTATATTTTTATTGTTTTAAGAAATGATGAATGCGATTTTAATGAGAGACGCGTGGTGGAAGTTATAAAAGACTCAATAGATTATTTATATAGCTTTTCTCATTTTAGGCTAAATAGACCTAGTATGAACTGAATGTACACTGCAGTCATCATCCATTTGACAAGTTTGGAAACGTCTGACAGTAAAACCATTTGGTCTGTATAGAATCTTAGATTTAAATATTTCAGAAATATATTTATTTAAATTCAGTACTTTTGAGTCAAAATCAACTAGGACCATATTCCTATAAAAAGGCCATAATGAGATTTGGATAATTATGATAAAACCACCAATCACAAGTTCTACATTCCAAGTTAGGGCGTATAAAAACACTGGATTTAATTAAAAATCTTAGAAGTAAAAATAATTAAAAATATTTGCTTGTTTATTTTTTGCATTATCGCTGTAGAGTTGGGTGATGTTCTCAAAATGTGATAAACGATTTTTTTTTCTAAACAAGACAGCACACTTTTGAGATTGTGTATAATGAGATTTATTTATAAATTATTCTTGTGTGATAAATAAGCCTAAATTAACTGTATACATAGTACTTAATAGTTTACCAAGTTATGCCATGACTCTTTACCCAATGTAATTGTCACTACATTGAAAGAAATGAACTGGGAGAAAACTTGCAGCTACTAATAAACTCGCATTACTGTATAATTATTAAAAGATGATATTTGAACAACCAATGAATGCTCTTTACGTAAGTTTGTCTATCTCCCAACGGCGGCGGAACGTTTTCGAAAGTGGGGGTGGCTATTTCATAGGGTCCAGTATGCGAGCGAAGCGAGCATCTAGGCTGGGGGCCAGGGGCCGCCGGTGGGGGTCCAGGGGGGCGAAACCTCCTTGGAAGCTACGGATATTTTACGAAGTTCGGTGAATTTTATAAGTTATTTTATAGGCATCAAGCTACTGTAATATGACATCATATTTGTTGTATTTCTAGTGGCGTATCCAAGAATTCGAAATAGAAGGGCCCAGGAAGGGTACTTTCACAGATAGAAAATCTATACTACATCAGCCCCAACCATGGTGGGAAGAAAATTTGTGATTATGGCACCTCTAAATGGCGGGAAATCACACTCTCAGACTTACAATTTAAATATAATTTTCCTTATAGGCCTATTTCAAAAAAACAAATGAACAATTTAGCGAAAGATATTTTTATTCGAAAGATTTTTTTACTCAATAGAGTTTTTACAACCTAAGACACATTAACTACATTGTACTGTAAATTCTGTAGATAACCTTCAGAGAACTTTATTTTTTAAAATGGCCTAATTAATTATCTTATTGTTTTCGTTAAATTAGATGGAGTTTAAATGTGGTTATATTCCGCTATTTTGAAGGTTTACTGTAAGCCAATCAGTTACACTTACTATACATGTTCGTGGTTAGCATAAAGAGAACTACAGCGTCGCTCCATTAAGAGTGCCTACCTCCCCCCATATGCCTAAATACAGACTACACGAAGGCAGGCGATTTTTTCTTCATGCTTGAGGGTGGTTTTCAAAGAAACTTTACAGACGCACGTATGCAGACGTCAATCAATATTTGGTTGCTCAACTCAAAAAGGGAACTTGTAATGCTCATTAGAAAATTAAAAAAAAAATTATATTATATAATGATAATAATAGGTCAGTTTATAAGACGCAAATAAACAAGGTGTCTAAGCACCAAATAATAATAATAATAATAATAATAATAATAATAATAATAATAATAATAATATTAATAATAATAATAATAATAATAATAATAATAATAATAATAATAATAATAATAATAATAATAATAATAATAACCTTCTACGTTCATATAGTAATTACGGGACTACTTTACCTTTTAATAATAATAAATGGTGAGAAAAAAAACAATATGTACAT